AATGTACATGCACATCTCAACATGAACAAGACAGCTTCAGCAGCTGGTACGTAAATGATCCAATTTTCAATTGCCCCAAGCAGAGCCTAACTGGACATCATAACACTTTTACTTTCTTCCCATTCCACATAAGCCTCCTTTACTTCATCTAATTTTGAGTTGAGTCCTGCAAGAAACTCAAAATCCATCCCTTTTTCAAGCATTTCATTATACCTAGTACCATATATCATATTACTATTATCTTCACACGCTCACTCGTGAAAGTGGGATTTAATTTTTTCATCAAACCCTAACACTTACAAAATTCATGTAAATGGGTGACAACGAGATTTAAACTCAGGACCTTTGTATACCATGATTAACCAATTGATCTAACAGCTTTATCTTCAACGAAATCAATCTAAATTATTCAAAGGGATAATTGTAATAGAAGCCCCAAATCTTTGAAATACTAACAGACTTTCCCAAATTTTTGATTTGTTGCAGCCATCATCGCTAACCTTTTCAAACGTTGCATGTGAGATCATTTTGGACAAAAATGCTTTTCATCCAAAACTCCGCCAGTTGATCAAAAAAATGATTTCGACCACATTTTAACAATTTTCAAAGAGGCAAAATGGTAATTTTACATTAAAATCAAAAAAATAGAACTGGTCTTCTTCTACCCTAACCCACCCCAAATCCATCCCCACCCCACAACAAACCAAGAAACCCATCCCCTATTTTGGAAACCATCGGCTGGCAAAAAAGCGACGACACAGAAGAATCATCGCCATGATCCACCTCCTTCTCGGCACCATCGGATTTAGGCTTCAAGAAGAGCTCACTTCTCCTCCAGTATTAGAATCCCTTTTGGTATCAATTACTGGACCCAAAATAAAAAAAAAATAAAAATTTAAACATGGAACTCGTAGTGAAACCCACCAGCCCCATCAAGTTTCTTTGCAGCTACGACAGCAGGATTCTCCCCTGTTACCCAGATGGAAAACTTCGTTACCACGATGGCGAAATCTGTGTTCTTTCCGCCGAATAATCCATTTCTTTTGCTGGTTAGTCCTTTCTCGTTTTTTTCATTTCCAATGTATTTATAGTGAAGTTGTGTAGTGTTATGTCGGCTGAGTGTGACAATTTTGTGTGTTACAGAGCTGTTGATGAAGCTGGGAGAGAAGTGTGGAAGATCAGTAGTGAATCTAAGATGTCAACTACCAACAGAAGGTTTAGATGCTCTTGTGGCGGCGCATTTTTGTCTCCATTATTCAGGAAAAATCCTGCGACAGTGGATTTGCCGAGAAGGAGGCGGATCACGGTGATGATTCTTCTGTGTCGCCGCTTTTTGGCCGGCCGATGATTTCCATAAATGGGGATGGGTTTCTTGGTTTGTCGTGGGGTTGGGGTGGATTTGGGGAGGGTTAGGGAAGAACAAGATCAATTTTATTTTTTGACTTTTGATTTTAATGTAAAATTACCATTCCATCCCTTTAAATCCCTTTAAAAATTGTTAAAATGTGATCAAAATCATTTTGTTGGTCAACTGATGAAATTTTGGATGAAAACCGTCCAAAAGGACCTCACATGCAATGTTTGGAAAGCTTAGGGGTGACTGTTGCAACAAATCAAGGGTTTGAGGAAAGTATACTAATGTTTCAAAGGTTTGGAGCTTCTGTTGCAATTATCCCTAATTTAAAATATAACCCAATAAATCAACGATTGTTTCAGAATTCAAAAATGGAAGCTTTTATGAATGCTGAACTACTACAACTTTTATTCTCTAAATTTACTAGACTTCCCTATTGTTTCCATTTTTTTCTGAAGAAGTGATCTTACTCTCTTCCTAAGACCTAGCCCTTGTTTGAGCCCCATTTTTTAGGGTAGAATGAATTTTTGAATAGTGTATTGATGGAAAATGTGTAATTAAAAAATAAGGAAAAGTTTTGGATTTACGTGCAATATTATTTTATTGAAGAATGTATGATTGAAATGATGTCAAAATACTGTTGAAAAATGCATTTTTTCAAAAGAATGAAGTTCAAACAAGGGCCTAATGTGCTTCATGAAATTAGCATGTAGGTGGGTTCTTCATAAACAAGTGTACAATCAAGTCTCCATATTATTTACCTACTTTTTATCCCTGAGTTCAATTTCTGTGAACTCGCTGAGAATCCAATTTTTCCCCAGGAATTTGCTTGACGGGATTCCAATATATCAGCCTACTCACAGTAGGCCAAATAAGATTTTATTTTTTCTGACTTTAGACTCGAGAAAACAATTCCAAATGTCCATCAATTGTAAACATATAGAAGGGGAAGGTAGATTAAAGGGGTACACCAAATGATTGCTAAGCCGTATGACTCACAAGCTCAACCACATGTAGGGAAAAAAATCTTTTCACACAAGCCTAGCATGGCCTAATATTCAATGTGTGGTAGCAACACTTAATACAGACATATGCTTCACTAGCTACCATGTAAAATTACCAGCCAACTAGAAAATTAAGAGGGGGAATATCACTCACAGGCTCAACCACATGTAGGAAAAAAATCAATTTATGCGAGCCTAGAATGGCCTAATATTAATGTGTGGTAGCAAGACTTAATGCAGATCTATTCTTCACTAGCTACAGTGTAAAATTACCACCAAATTAGAAAATTAAGCAGGAAAGCAGACGTAGAAGGCAATATTTATTTGCTAATTAATAGTTCTAAAACCATAATCCACAAAGAACTCATTAGCCTGACATAATCTAAAAAAGAATGGGGCATCGTACCTTATGAGACAAAAGAGAAGATGTAGCTGATGAAGATTTAAGTGCTGGAAACCCAATGTCAGAGGAGATACTCCCATCGGCTTTAAACAGTCCAAAGTTTTTCTCAGAAAGTGCACCAGGTTTTGAATTCTCATTAAACAATGCAAATATATAGGCTTTCAACATCCTCTTTGGCCTCAGTGGAGTACCTTTCCTCTTGGCCAACCTTTTACGCAAATTATAATTATATGTTCTTGCATTGTCTGGTGTAGCGGCAGGTTCGTTCTGGTCCCCATGAGAAGCCCAACCTGTCTCTGTAATAATAACTTCCATCTTTTTAAATCCAGCATCCTCCAAAGCAGCATAAGCTGCATCAATCTGAGCATCGAGCAGGTTATCATAATGAAGATCAGTTTTATTATCAACTATTCCCTTATTTTTCTGAAATAGAGCGTAATTTATGTCAATTTTGTCTGAATTATATGTATAAGCCAGAAAGGGATAGGCATTTAGACAGAAAGGGGACCCAATTTGAGAGAAGAACTCCAAAAGAGGCTTCATCAGTTGAGCAACACCATCTTTGAAAATACACGAAGAGGGAGGAAATGAATTTTCAAAAACAGCCTGAGAGTGAGCAGTTGTAATCTGAACTGACTTGTCTATCCCAAGCTCTTTCGTGGCATTGTGAATATTTTTCACGGCACCCAATAAAGCTACTGCGAGGTCAGAATCACTTCCTCCCAAAACCTCATTCCCCACAGCGATCCCAACTATGTTTGTATCTGGGAGGAACGCCATAATATTATCTTTAACCCAAGTCACAGCATGATCTGCATTTGTACTCATATCTTTAACGAATCCATTTGGAAGTCCAACCACCAACTCAAGCCCAGCCCCTTTAAAGGCATTAAGAACAGTGTGATCTGCATCGTAAATTCTTACATTCTTTATCTTTGCAGCCCTAAGCAATGTCACAACTTCATCAGGTGAAGGGATGTTATCTGCAATTCTACCATAATTAATTCCATAAGTCCCCGTGAATGCTCTTGCCATTTGTTGTTCTGGGGAAAAATTAATAGCAAAGAAACAGAGAGTCAGCGAACTAAATTTTTTTTCGCAGATTCCATAAGTTTCAATAAAATAAATAAAATAAGTAAAAATTTCAAAACAGCAGAAGCAATAAAATTATACACACTTAAAGGGTCTCGAATTGGGTATTGAGGCTAATCCCAGTTCCATCTTGATATTTAACTTTCGGATATCGAGATTTCAAGACTGTTCTCTGAAATATCATTAAATTTGGACCTAAGAAAACTTGATTGCGTAAAATTCAAATACATTATAAACGCATAAACCTATGTCTGTGCATAATCTAGAACAATTTATTCTTAAAGCCAAAAAGGCAGCATATAAAATTTGTATATAATAAACATAAACACAGGTTTGATATTTATATAAGCACATATGTGTTTATATTGAGTATCCGGCTTCATATAAAATTTGAAATTTGAATAATTAAACGAAGAAACGCAAAAAGCCAAATCGATTTATAAATTAAAGAACATAAAAATCAGCCATTTTAGCAGATCACCACAATTAGTGATCCAAAAACAAAACCAACTTCACATATAACGTTTGTATTCAAAATTCAAATATCCGATCGCATTAAAAAGTTTTTTTTTTCTAATTTTGAAAAAAAAAATCAAGAAAAGTAACATTTACCATTGGGACTACTGAAGAAGACAAACAGCAAAACAGTGAATGAAACTTGAAAAATCCTCATCGGTCCCGGTATTTAATACGACGCCGCGTTGTCTCCAATTGTTCAAATATAATTACTGCTGTACTTCCTTTTACACAATCATGCCGTTAGCGACTTGTAAAGTTTCCTCTTAATACAGAAACTTATATTGGCTTTATATGAAAGGATTTTTGGATTTATGTAAAGACTAGCGGAGGTGGAGGTAGAGGCGGAGCGGCAACGGTTGTTGCCGGCGGTGTTCCGGGTGGTTGAAGGTGTGGTTTTTGGCCTGGGTTTTGGCGGTCCTGAATTCCACATATATATAAAGTAGTCAATAATAGGTTGCATACGCGTGTCATCAACTGATTGACGAGCTCGCACGTGTGAATGCTTTGAATTGTCAATATTTCAAAGTACCAGGTAAGTTCCTCAACGAGTCCTCACTTTTCAAGCAGACATTAAGCCCTTGCTTGGGCTAATTTTAACTAGGTCTTAAAGAAAATAAATTTAAAAATAATAATTTTGAGGAGAATGTACAATTTAAAAAAAAAAAATTTAAATTTATGTGTAGTATTATTTTATTCAAAAATGTGATTGTAAAGAAAATAAGAAAATATATTAAACAAAGGCTAAATAACCCTAAGCAAAACAAATACAGTATCTGACCGAAAAAGTAAAATTATTTTAAAGTAGCACATTTAATTTGAACTGTTGTCATTTAGTACTTTAGAGTAAGCCCCTATTTGGTTCATATTATTTTTTCATTAAAATATGACTATAATCCAATATATCAAATCATCAAATATGAAATTCTATTTCTTGTATGGAGTCTGTAATGGGTACATTTTTCATTCTTATTTTTCCAAAAATGAGAAACAAATGGGGGCTAAATGATTTTTTTGACAATTTTACTGATATACTATTAAAATTAAATATCTAAATATATATTTTTCATTAAGAGCCTGTTTGGGGCTCATTATTGGTCCAAAAAAATGAAAAATCTTATTGTTGGAGCACACAAATCCAAGGCATTGTGAGAGAGAAGTTAACAGGTGGGGCCCTTCAACGGCAAAAATTCTTCTAATAATGCAGAAATAATGTGTATCAAATAGCCTCTAAGTATAAATACCATACACATATTGTTAAAAGGTTAGAGACATAAATGTCGCAAATGAAATAAATTCAAAATATAATTGCCACATTTATAAAAAGTTGAAGACCCATAAAAGAATTTACCTAGAAAAAAATGATTATGTATAATATTTTTTGTTATTGTACCTAAATATGATGTACTCTTAGGATACTGTAGTTACTGACTTGGAATTCACGTAGGATAAATCCATGGGCCCTTTGACTTGGTCAACGAGTCTTCATACGAAGAGTCCGGTCGCTCGGTACCTTGACCTATGTTATTAAAAGAAGTTGAAATTGACTATGAGAGACGTCATATAAGGGCATTCTTATATATGTATAATTTGAACCCCTAATATTCCTATCGATACTTCGATTTTCAAGATCAACTCTTTCAATAGTTTAGACATTCACCCCCTTCGTGCTATTCCTCAGGCAAGGAGCACTTCCTCTAGAGAATATGAAATATGTCCAAATTTCCCCAATATTTAGATGTTTCAACAAATATGATAATGAATATTTTAATCAAAATAATTTAAGATTCGAAAATTTTAAAATTTAATATTAGATGTTTCAACAAATATGATAATGAATAGTTTAATCAAAATAATTTAAGATTCGAAATTTTTAAAATTTAATATTTGGACGTTTCAAAAGGATAATGAATTGTTTAATCAATGCTAAATTTATTAGAGATAAAGTCTGAATAGTTCTTGTTAATCTCGAATTTACAAGATTTTAATAATTTGAAAGTTGGTTTCAAATGTATATAATATGTTTACGCGTCACTTTCAGAGTTAATTATTTTATGAATTTATAATAAATATAGGAACAGTTTTCTAATAAAATAATTTTTAACTTTTGTGCAATAATAAACCCAATTGTAAAATTTAACGTTAATTAGTCTTCGATTATAAATTTTAAATGCATATTTTATTATTTTACAACAATTTTTAAGTCAAAATATCAAGATTTTGAAAACATTTTATCGACCATAAACCATGTAATAAAGTTAAGAAAACTTAGTATACTAGTCGAGATACTTAATTAATGTATATGTATAAGATTTAAGTCACGTAAGAAGAAAGCCATAACAATGCTAGTCGAGATATTTAATTAATCATGATTTGCTTGGTAAGGTAAATTATCCAGTATGATCACATATAGAGTATGTCCTTATATTTTTCATATTTCGTGACGTAAATAAGAATATTTTGTAATAGTTTATTTTCACAAATCTTCTAAAATTATTCATAATTTGCTCGGTAAGGTAACTTATGAACTATAATCACGTATAGAGTATATCCTTATATTTCCCATATTTCGCGAAGTAAATGAGGATATTTTGTAATAGTTTATTTTCAAAAATCTTCTAAAAATCTCAAATTTTGTCTGTAATTTAAGGAAATATTTTGACAACCTTTTATTTTTTTTGCTTTTCTCTTCGAGTGTTCTTTAGAGTACAACTTTAATGTTGTTCTTTTGAGGTCATGTTCAACTTTAAAATCACTTTTCTCTTTCTATCATTATGCATAGAAGACACGTTTAGAAGAAAACAGAAGAAAATAAATTTAAAAAAACCATATCTTCATGCTTTATCTTTTCTATTTTCAATTAGGAAGTTAAGACTACAGCATGTAAAGAGAAACGAACACATCAGTAAATGTAGGATACATAGAAGAGAATTTGCGGTGGTGTATGACAAAGCGCTTTTAGGGGATGACATATTTATTCGAAATTATTTGAACGTGACGAAGACTCGACTCAAATCATAATTGATTGGTTTTAGTCTGGTTCAATAATATCACTATAAAATTTCTATTTATACAAGATAAACTTTCGACTTTTTTTTTTCCTCCTCAATTCAAGACTTCTATTTTACGCTTCAAATCCATCGATGAATAGGATTTGCAATGTAACATTGTAACTTTTCCTATAAAACATTTCTTCTCTTTTGTGTCTAAAGGACCTTTCAGTCACTCCGTCTTCCCTAACTAAGAAAGATTTAAAAATCGATAAAGGCGCAATCGATTTTTTGTAAAATTCTTGATTGGCTTGTCGATAGAATCTGGCATTACTCGATAATTCCATATAAACACAAGCTTAGAACAAATTTCATTTGTTCTTTGTAAAACTTGAATTTTGATACTGTGCACTAGCTTAGCCTCTAAGGCACTATCCAACTCCATAAAAAAGGTGACAAAGTAGTTAGCAAGATAATATAGTGGGTGACACCTAATTACCGAACTTAATTAATGGCATAATAACAATTATTTGAGTTATTCATCATCATGTTCCTAATTAAGTAATCCCATGGAATTTCAAAATTGAAATATATAACTTGGCAATGGAAGTTAAAGTTGAGAGTGATCCAAGTAATGAAATGGTCAAATTTCTATGATTTTTTTTTTAATGTGAAATTTTTATTTTTTACATATTAGTTCATGCTAAAATTTGTTTGTCCAATTCTGACTCCGTCCCTAATTGTTACTTAACTCGCACATGAGGAAAGTAGCAGTCATTCTAGCAAAACTATCCTGTTAGAAGCATTTTGATGAAAGGTCAATGACTCGAAAGTACATAAGTTTCAAGGGACTCTGATAGCTTCTGAGTTTGATCGATGAGAATTGAAAATCTGATCAAATGGTAAACAATTAAAAAATACATCACCATCTGATTGTGTAAAACTAAAATTGTGATCGACCCAATCGATCTCCATGGATACATGGCAGCCACAAATGTTAGGTAAGTTTTTTTCTACATTTAAATCAAATTTATGTTAAAATCTTGCCGAAATAATGAGGTAATTGATTGCATGTCACATAGTAATTATTTTGGACGATGGAAAATGAGAATTAATTTTTGTATTTAATATATAGATACATTTTACATTTCTTAAGTAGGGCGCGATTTAGTTGGTGGCCACTCTTAACTAATTAGACTCTACCTAACTAATTAACCACCACCATATTCCCAATTGAATCGATACAATAATAGAATTTATTGAAATAATTATAAGATTAAAGAAGGAAAGAAAGGAAGACAAACATTTTCACTCCAACATATAGCCCTTGTTTTGAGCCCCATTTTTGAGTCAAAATGCATTATGAAATAAGATAAAAATTTAGATTTACGTGTAAAATTATTTTATGGAAGAATGTGTAGTTGAAAACGAGTTTTTGAAAAAAAATGAGTATTTTAGAAAAATTGAAAAATTTAGGTCCAATACAACAATTAATTTGAACTAATGTTTTAAATCGAGGTCAACCAGATACAATAAATAAATAAATAAACACACATACAAACAAACAAACAAAAAAATACAATAAAAACAATAATTTTTTTTTAATTTTTATAATACTAATTCAAATTAAATATATAGTTGTTAATTAGATTGATTATTCTACAATTAGTCTCAATAGTTCAAAAACTAAAAATCAACATGTTAAAATAGTTTGCTTTCTTAAAATTGAAATAGTTTGAAAGTGGAGAAAATGATATTTAGCATTATCTTGTTAATAATGAAGTGCAATTTAAGTTAAATTTAAAATTAAATAAATGAAAATATGGAGCTGAATTATTACAATTTAGTTAGTTGGGGCCCAAAATCAAATTAGTAACATATAAAATAATTTTGATGAGCAATTTAACATTTTGCTATCCCACGTCAAAAGTTTATGCTACCATTTGAGAGAAGTGCATCTATTAAAAAAAGCATGCCATCCATGATTCCCTTATGGGCCTTTGATTGTAACCTAATAATAAAGTTTAAAAATTCTAAATTAAAATTGGTCAAAATATTAAAGTTGACATCGGTTCACTGGTTTATGGTTAAATCGATCAGTCCAGCAGGTTTTAAATGATTTTTGTTGCAGTTAGTTAATCATACATGATTGACTTGATTTTTGGTCTAAATCCGGATTATACCAATCGAACCGATCACATCAGGTCGATTTTAATAACATTAATTTGGATCATTTATTTCATCTAACCCAAAGCTTTGATCAATTTTTAATTATATATTCCATTAATTTTAATCAAAATCTTTTAAGAATTTTATCAAAAACTTTGTCAAATAATCCCCAAACATTTTTAGAAACACTATGAAATCAAGCCTATTGCATATTAGACTTTACTAAAGTTAAATGAATCTCGACCATATGAACATTTGATATAAAA